ATAATGCCTTCGGAGAAAAAAATGCGTGAAAAAAAAATATTTAACAGTACTCCACTGGAAGCTGCCAGGCTGAAAGTTGTCGACATGTTGCGAGATAAGAGTGAAAAAGTTTACTTATCATTTACAACTGTATGTTTTTTGTATTCCGCTTGCATGCTGGAAGCGTCTCCGTCTTGTCTTTTTTTTTGTAGTTTGCAAGACTAGTTGGTAGCGCTTGAGGTAAGTTAAACAGGGTCGCGGACAGAAAGTTACACATCGCCGCACCGTAACTGAGGCCAGCAACTAATTTGCATATAACATCAACAGTGACTTGTCAATCAAAGAGCAACGTAAACAAACTTTCGGGACTTTTAGTCACATACGCGTGCCTCGATTCCCTACATTTTAAAATCCATTTTTGGGCATGTTCTAGCATTGACAATGCTCCGAAATTTCAACACTATCTAGCCAAGACTGTCTGGGTAAGAAAAGCAAAAAAAAAAAAAAAAAATCACTCCGAGTGCCCACGAACATGAATCTATACCTTAAGGAAAGCATTTCGATTGAATGCATATTGCATGTATGCGTGTTGCAATGTGTATATCTATAAAACCAGGGAATTAAATATATATTTAACAATTGAGTCAATAATCTTCAAAGAGCAGTCAGAATGGCATTCCTTTCAACATATTGTCATTGTTTAAATCACTGACAAATCTATAAGACACCTGTTCAAATTTAGCCTCCCGGGGTACATTCTTTTACAATTTACATTCTTTTACAATTTACATCTGTACAATTTATTTGACTGTACATTTGTTCATGAGAACTCAATACCTGACTCTGTTTTCAAGCAGATTGTTAATCAATACAGATTTAATTTTCCACAAATTGAAAAACTTGGTTAGAGTTCCTGAAATTTTAGAAAAGTACATGTACGGTAATATAAAGGGTTCAAGTCTAGATTATAATCATGCATTATAACCACTACCAAACTGAGGAGTAAAATGATTTCAAGTAAGCACATGATGTTGTTCAGATTTAATGCTGTGCATGGTTACTATCCACTGGTGAATATAATCACAATATTTGATTACAATTAAGACACTTATATGTGGAAAATGTTAGTTTTGATTGTATTGGGAGACAACGCCTAGTACAACATTAACATCTGGATTTTTGAACAATAGAAGGAGAATAAAAGGATGCCATACCTCTTTTAATCCAGACATTCTTCCTAAATTTGGAAGGCATGCTGACAAGAAATTTATCCCCACCTGGGGCTTCCACCTCATGGAGGTTATTACCACGTGGTGCACTGATCTACAAAACACAATGAGAAAAGTTACAGTCATGTTTAAAAATAACAATCAACAGATCATATATGAAACAATTTTGCTACATCTATCTAAAATTAATCATTACTGGCATTAGCGCAAACTGTATCCAGTATGAAGCAGCTTGTCTATCTTCCATATTTTAGTCGCTAGAAGTGAACCAAGACAAAAATGATACATATGTATGCGCCTGGCATTAATTATCAATGTCATAGTCAGCTTCTATTTGTTGCTTTTACTTTCGCACTTTTTAGTGCCTCTTACAAGCTGAATAATGTACAATGTACTAAGGAAGAGCACAACTAAAGTAAATAAATACATTGTGTATATCAAACTTAGATACTAGTAGTAGGCAAGTGGATCATTTGAAACTCAGAACTTATATATTATCACTTATTATTATTTGGTTGAAATCGTTAATAAAATACAAGCCATTCTTAGCTGAGATAATGTGAAAACTGAAGGAACAACTTCCTAATAGTTTCAAATGGTCCACCTCTATAAAACAGAATAGTGCACACCTTAACGATCCGCTGATTATCCTCTGGTAGTACGTACTCACTGAGCACTTCACCAAAGACATGTTTACGCTTGGTCGCTTTGGACATTTTTATCCAGTAAAATGACGAAACGCCTCACTAAATATATAACGTTCGGTTTAAATTTTTTTTTTTTACAATATTGAGTCGCAGTTCAAAAACGGAGGTCACGACCGAGTTTGCTTGTCTAAAGTCTTTGTCGTCTGGGCTTGAACAAGCCAACACGTCTTCTGAAATGCTTATTGCTCCATAATTGCAATGTATTGTGTAGTTACAACGCGAAACTTGTCTGGATTCCACAGGATTTTGAGCAACTGACAGATAACAATACACGCAATATCGCCATTTTATTCAACATGAGGGCCAACCTCGATTTCGATTTCGCAACGCAGAGAAATTAGACTCCCTAGAATATCCATACTTCAAGAAAGCAAGGTGTATTGTGATTATTTTCAAACGCTGACTGATTACATTTAACATAAATTAAAACATGAAATTAAATTATTGCAAAATTTTGGAAAAATGAAACAATAATATCAGCCAGCGACTGCTTTATTAAATGATTTTGTCATTTGGATGTCATTTTGTTGATAAGTTAAAGAGCCTTGAAATTGGCCCTCTACGGCAGATTTTGAATATTTTTTGTCTCAGTACTTTAGTCGTTTATTTGATTGTGTTGTGCGTCAATCTGTGAGTTTCCAGGTAATGTGTGCCATTTTATCTCTCGTTTCATAATTTGATATTGCATTTTTATTTCATTGCCGCTCAAGGACTCACGTGTTGTAAATGCTCCCATTTATGGAGCGTTTAAGTGAGTGATCAATGACAGAGTTTGATTGATTGAACGATTCATTCAACTTCCTGGTTAAGAATATTAATTGGGTGGTTGTGGTACATTCCGCTCAATAATTATCAGAAAGCTTTTGGAGGTTGATGGTGGAATCACGGAAGTCAAATAATATCTTTTGTTTAGATGACATCCATGGTTAAACCAAGAACAGCCGTGGTTAAACAAAAAAGTGACGGTTTACTTACATGTGATACAATTCTCAGAAAAACTGACTGATCAAAACGTACTTAAAAATGTTCGATACAATTGTAAAACTAGTTGTGCTTTACTGCAGTGAAATTTGGACGAGAAGAACATATACAAATTATGTATTATGGGAAAATCTGGTTACACCAAGGGAAAAAGTACAAATACATTTCTTCAAATATCTTCTAAAAGTAAATAGCATTTAGCATGGAGGTAAAAAGAGAAGGAGTCACAGCCAAAATAATCCTCCTAAACTTCTTTTGTTTTAGCTTCAAGCGTTGCTGCGTACAGTACGCACTCCAAGGTCTTGTTTTACGTGTGTCACAGTAAAAGCCAAAGGACATAAAGCATGCGCAGATCTTTTATACGTAGAGGAATCGTGTTTGTGAGAACGGGAAAGTTGGAATTTTGAAAATCAGAGAATTTCTTGTTAAGTTTATGTAATTTTTCGTTTTTCAGCACATTTTCCGTTGTATTTTTGAATCGGTAATATTGTAATGTTTCGAAACCTTGCTAGTACTGTTTTTTAGTCCAAAATAAATATTGTTTAATGTTCCTTGCAATGACACTTTTTGAAGTTTATATCCCGTGTATGTCCTACTTCCTATGGCAGTGCGTCAATTTTCTTTATATACCATGTACAAGAAAATCGCTGCATTTTTTTGTTTTCGGGTAATTATTTCGTTCACAGCATATGCAAAAAAATTCTTCGTCTTTAATATGCTCTTCGATTTCATTTACGTCTTCTGAATTTAAGGATATAGCAGTTTTAGCATCGTAGTCAAACTTGTGCGTGTTATCAATCGTCGCCATATTTGTTTATAAGAATTTGACTAGAATTGGCACGAAAATCGCCGAGTGCTGCCGAAGGCTTCCGTAGTATGCTAATACATGGTAATCCTCACTGCACTAAGAGGAAACTGTCCTCCTAGATCCGTTCGGCAAATAAACTTCCTGATCTATGTACAAACAGCGGCGACCATCCTGGTACCTCTGATCTAAGCTTGGCTGTGCCTCCTTCTCTTTTTACCTCCATGCATTTAGCAAGTAATTTGACAAGCCCGCTAGAGCTGGGAAGATAATAATCAAAATAAATAATTTTAGTCCAAATTCACTAGTTTATGAAGCTTATTTGGACATTTTCTTCTTAATTGTAATCTATAATATTATATAAGGAGAATCGAGAAATCATGATTAAAAATACTAACTACGGTACAATAAAACCAACTAGACTGTGTTTACAAAACTTAGATTTTGGAGTCACTGAGGTGGGCAATGGATAACTTGGCATAAAGATGAGGTAGTTTATTTAATCAGTGCTAAACTAGAGGCTGAAATTATAATTACGTTCATTGTCATATAATTTGTTTATTTCAATTTCTCCTGAAGTCACATAAATTACACTGGTGAAAGGATGTTTTGGGGATGTAGTGTATATAGAGGGGTAATGGTGGGTATCATATAATTTGTTCATTTTCAACATAGATTGGTTAAAATAAATAAATTAATATTCATGAGCAATGAAAAACCTGTCTTTTCAGTAAAATTGTGCCAAAATAGTTTTAAATTGACTGATTTTATCGCTACAAGCTAAAAAAAATAAAAGTGTTTTTTTAGACACGATTCCACAGAGATTGGACGGTGCCCTCATGCCAATCCTTCACCATTGTATTCAAACGAATCACGTGGTGCGCTGTTACTGTCTCCTTCAACACCCTAGGAAAGTAGGCCTACATTACACTTCCTTGAGTCAAACCCGAGATTCAACCATTAGGGGTGTTTCGGTAAAAAAGACATCGCAAAGCATGCAAATTCAATATTTTCAAACCAGTATACTAAAACAAAAATGCTCAGTGATGCAAAAGAAGGATAGATATTTATTACTTTTCAGTGTACACATCTCTGTTGATCCAATCCCTCACATATTCTACTCCCAATTATTTCTGCGTAAAATGGAATAGCCTCTTTCCAGTAAATATTCTGAGTAAAATCATGTGATAGGCTGTTAAAATTGGCTGTTACATACTCTTCCGCCAGTCTGGAAAATGTGTTCAATTAGCTCTCATTCGAGCAACAATGCAGATTTCCCAGTGAGAGTGAAACTGGTTCGACTCTGCCATTAGAAAAAAGGGGTGTTTTCAGCATACATACAATACACTGAATTTTAGAACAAATCTTGCATTAGTTACAGCAGCAGAATACCACAGAAATATCAGACGAAACATGAAAACACAATATATTGTATTTTGGCCTGAACCCTCTCTATTGCAATTCCAGGAATTACCCCCATATGTGCAACCATTTTCCACCTTGATACCACCCACCCCTGAAAACAAACTCTTAATACCACCACATAGATAATGTATTTCTTTATTACCGGTACCTGTAAAAAAATAGTAAATTTAATTGTTTCAAAATGTTTGCACTATATGCCAATCATGTTACAGTTTCACTACAAACTAAATTCTAAATAATTGAATATCATATCACTGGAAGTTGTAGTCAGTAATTATTCATATATTATGTTGTAAATTATCCAAAAAACGATCATGCTGGTATCTGTGCAGCCTTGAATTTCAGTGGCTTACTTGGGAGAAATGTGTGTGTGAATATTTAGAATGCTACAAAAACCTGATGTTTTAGTGAAAAATGCTTTATTTGTATTACATCAACAATGTCATGACAGTGTGACCATTTAGTTATGTTTATATCTTTATAGACAATTACATTTTAATCTGGTTTATTAAAATGGTTTATAAATGTAACCATTCACACATTTTTCTAACAAACCCAGCTATTGTTTTCAATACAATACAATACAATAGTGTTAATTGTTTTTTCTTATTTTGAATGACGAAGAGATGATGACAATTTATGCAGCGTTATTCAGATGTTCAATACTTTCTTCTGCGCCTCTCCATAGATTCAGAATTTCGGAGTTAACTGAAGATGTCGTCTACGTCTCAAAAGCACCGTAATTTTGTAGCTGAACCCATGGGTGATAAGCTAGTCACAGAACTTGCTGGAATTGGAAAAGTGCTGGGAGA